CAGTTTTTATTTAAATTTTTATTATATTTAATTGTTTGTTATACAGATTTAAGTCGTTATTTATATTTTGTTTATATATTTTTTACATTTAAGCGGTTTTTAGTTTTAATTCGTTTTTGTTTAATTGTTTATTTATTTAAACAGTTTTTTTATTTAGATTTCTTTGCAGTTTTTATTTAATTAATATTTATTTGTTTATTTTTTTATTTAAGCAGTTTCTTTTATTCATTTTGTTTAATTTTTTTAATTTATTGTTTATTTTTTATTTATTTTATTTGCTAGATTTTTATTTATATTTAAGCAGTTTGTTGATTGCATTAGGCATTGCATTTATTATTATTATTATTATTTTATTTTATTTTTTTACATTTTCTAAAATGTTAGTTCATATTTGGAAGTTATGAATTGATGTATTAAATATGCACTAATTCTGCATGCATTTCTTTTCCTCACATGTAAACTTAATTAAAGTCAGGTTAAAAATAATTTATTTTAAATTAATTTATTAATTTATTTATACTTCTTGGACTCTTGACGATTTTTCATAAACAATTTTTACCCCATAATTTAGAAAATACTGCAAACGCACATAATGATAAAAATGCATTTTTACAAATTTATTTGAAATGTTTTATAGATTAGAATACATTAAAAACACACACATTATGAAAAGCCAAAAAAGCACAATCTCAATTTATCCTGCATTGTCTCTCCTTAAATATACTAACCAAATCCTCACCATGCACACTAAAATTCACCAAACTTGAATGTGTAATTGTGTTTTAGCTGTGTTCTTCAATCTCTATGTGTATTACATGTACTCAGATTAACATAGGTGAGGCTTTATTCCTGTAGGTGAATGTGGGCAAGGGAAGTCATCCTCATAAAGTGAAGGTGTTTGGTCCTGGAGTGGAGAAAACAGGACTGAAGGCTCATGAACCCACACACTTCACTGTAGACTGCACTGAAGCTGGAGAAGGTAACACACACACACACACACACTCTGTGTGCACAAATCAGTTTAATAATAATTTATTTCATGCATCAGTCTCACACACACACAACTTTTTTTTAAGGGGATGTGAGTGTTGGAATCAAGTGTGAAGCCAATGTAATCAGCGGACAAGAAGAGGATGTGGATTTTGACATCATTCCCAATGCCAACGACACTATTACTGTTAAATATATTCCTCCTGGAGCCGGACGACTCGTTATTAAAGTCCTGTTCACTGATCAGGTCAGTCCACGTTTCAATAATTGCGAATATGGTGTTTTTATTTTAAATTATTTTGTTTGGGTCATTCAATTAACTGTCATAAATTGTCATAATAATAATAATATTAATGTTATTACAGTTTATTTTTGCTATTATTATTATTCCTATTATTATTATTTTAATGATTTTTGTTTACTGTTTATTATTTTTGTTGTTATTATTTTATCATTTTATTGTTGTTGTTACTATTTATTATTATTATTTGTTTATTATTATTATAATTATTATTATTATTATTAAATTATGAATTTTTAGCCATTCATTTTACTTGTAGTTCAAATCGAGTCGAAAAATTGCCTAATCAGTTTTTTAATTTAGTTATATATTTAGTTATTTGAATAGGGAAATTTGTTTATTTTTTTTATGTATTTGAAAGTTTTATTTTTGTCTTAATAAAATATTTAATGATGGGCATATTTAGTTTTATTATCGATTTTATTTACATTTTTTTATTAAACTGGTCATTAAATAAAAATAATCATTAATCGTTTATAACTAAATATTTGCAAGATATTCTGTTGGGTGACTTAGACCATCAAATGTTGCAATTAAAAAAATATATATAATTATTTAGTTATTAAACAGTTAACGTTAGAGTCTTTTCAAAATCATGTGTTCATTTAAAATGATCCATTTTAGGAAATTCCGGTCAGTCCATTCCGTGTTAAAGTGGATCCGTCTCACGACGCCTCTAAAGTCAAAGCAGAGGGACCAGGAATCGCACGAGCAGGTTTGTTGATCAATCATCTAATGATCTCTGTTTTATTGGTGTTTTGATATTTGACTTTGGCTGTGATTTGGTCTTTTATTTAAGTTCTGGCTGTGCTTTGATCTTTTATTGTAGCTGTGCTTCGATCTCAGATTTTTGCTCTGCTTTGAATTTTGTTTTTTGCTGTGTTTTGATCTTTGATTTTGGCTGTGCTTTGATCTTTGTCTTTTACTGTGCTTTGATCTTTGGTTTTTGCTGTGCTTTGATCTTTGATTTTGGCTGTGCTTTGATCTTAGATTTTTAGCTGTGATTTGATTTTGTCTGCTTTGATCTTTTATTTTTGCTGTGCTTTGATGTTTAATTTGGTCTGTGCTTTGACCTTTGTTTTTTTGCTGTGCTTTGAGCTTTGGTTTTTGCTTTACTTTGATCTTTAATTTTAGCTGTGCTTTGGTCTTTGATTTTGGCTGTGCTTTGATTTCAGCTGTGCTTTGATTTCAGCTGTGCTTTGATTTAGGCTGTGCTTTGATCTTTGATTTTTGGCTGTGCTTTGATTTCAGCTGTGCTTTGATCTTTTATTTTAGCTGTGCTTTGATGTTTGATTTGGTCTGTTCTTTGACCTTTGTTTTGTGCTGTGCTTTAATTAGTTTTTTTACTGTGCTTTAAGCTTTGGTTTTTGCTTTACTTTGATCTTTAATTTTAGCTGTGCTTTGGTCTTTGATTTCGGCTGTGCTTTGATTTTAGCTGTGCTTTGATCTTTGATTTTGGCTGTGCTTTGATCTTCATTGAAATTTTGGTTGTGCTTAGATATTTTATTTTGACTTTCCCTGTGCTTTGATCTTTGATTTTGGCTGTGCTTTGATTTCGGCTGTGCTTTAATCTTTGATTTTGGTTGTGCTTTGATCTTTTATTATGATTTTGGCAGTGTTTCGATCTTTAATTTTGACTGGCTGTGTTTTGATCTTCATTAAAATTTTGATTGTGCTTTGATCTTCAATTTTAACTTTGGCTGTGTTTTGAACTTTGATTTCAGCTGTCCTTTGATATTTGATCTTTGATTTTGGCTGTCTTTTGACTGTATTTTGATATTTTTTTGAGTCTTTAAATGTTTCCATTTTTTGTATCATCAGGTGTGGAGAGTGGAAAACCAACACACTTCACAGTTTACACTAAAGGAGCAGGTAAAGCTCTGCTGGATGTGCAGTTTTCTGGCCCAAATAAAGCACAACCTGTCCAAGACTTCGAGATCATTGATAACTATGACTATTCCTATACTGTCAAGTACACACCAGTCCAGCAGGTAGAGATCTGACACGTGTTTAGTAGTAGTTCAAACCAATGAAATTGGCAAATTAGACATCTTGTGGAATTTATCTTCTGGCTTGATCATTCTGGTCTTCATTTCAGGGAGAGATGGTGATAACAGTAAGCTACGGTGGAGACCCGATTGCTAAAAGCCCCTTCGCTGTCGGTGTCGCAGCTCCACTCGACCTTAGCAAGATTCAAGTGGATGGCCTGGAAAACCGTATGTGGTTTTGTTTTATTTGTCAATTTTATTCATTTAATTTTGATTTAATTCATTTAAATAATTTTATTTATTTATTTGTTTGTTTGTTTGTTTGTTTGAACCCAAGATCCAAGCATAATATATGTTTGTTTCTTGAAATAATATAATAAGTAACATCTAAAAAAAAAGCTATATTTATATTATTTACCAATTATAATAATATTACAAAAAAACTATTATAACAATATTAAAATGTTAGTTTAATTTTACCTTGTTATATATTTATTTTAGTTTCTGGTTAGTTAGCAAGCTAATTTTTCCCCCAATTCTTTTAATGCAATATCCACGTTGATTGCCAGTGAAGACATTATATTTAAGGCCCTAACATGCACCTTTCGCAATAAGGTGCAAAATGTGTTTGGCCTGATTTGTTGTTATTTTCAGACCAGCGCAACCCTAATTTTCCCATTTTGCGCCACGTTGTTTAAATAGCAAATCCATTTGAGCCACTTTGTGGACTCATGGGTGTGTCGGTCTAGAAAGAAGGTGTGTAAGGCAAAATGTTGGCGCGTTGCTATTTTAAGCATCACCATATGGGCATAAGAACAGGATGTGTGTTTGTATATAACTTTTTGACCACACTTTGTTATTATTGTTCATTTATTCATTTGCTGGAAATTACAACTGAATTTAGAAATAGTTTTGAAACAAATCTTTATGCTTAACAAACAAAGTTAAATATGTAGGCTAATGAATGTCTTCAGTTTATTTCACTAAAGTAAAGGAGTAAAGTAGAGAGTAAAAGTAAAGAGGCCGAATGGAGAAGGCTCGTTCTTTATTCTCGTGCTGCAGATGCTCTGTGATTAATTGTTTTCATGCTAGAGAAGCGTTCATTTTTTCTACAAAGTCTGCTATGTAAATAGAAAATGCACCATGGCGCAACGCAATCGACTCTTAAAGGGAATGAGAGATGAGACTCTGATTGGTTTAATGCATGTTATGCTCAAAACACACCCAGAAATCATTAGGAGAATAAGCACAACCCTGTTAGACCATGCGGCGAGGCATAGACCGTATTTTTCCGTCCTTAAAATAGCAATGCGGATTCAGACATGCCCTTAATGCTTAAGCTCCATGTGCTTTAGACTTTGCAAATATATCAATAAAATAAGGCCCTTAATGTTTGTTAGTTAAAATATATTTAGTTCTAAGTATAGTTTAATCCAACATTGTACTAGATGGCATTGTAAATTGTGGTGATTAAATTATTCAAATATATTTTATTTGTTTGTTTTTTTATTATTGAATGTATCATTTATGTATTATGCACTTATTTATTTATATATATACATATATATTTATTTTTTAATTATTATTATTTATACATTAATTTGTATATTAATAAATTTTTTCTTGCTATTTAATTAATTTGATTAATTTTATTTGTTAAATAATCACCATTTAATATTAATTTTCCAGGAGTACAAGTTGGTGAGGATCAAGAGTTTGCTGTTGGTACTAGAGGAGCAGGTGGGCAAGGCAAACTGGAGGTCAAGGTTACCAGTCCGTCAGGGAAATCTGTGCCCTGCTTGGTGGAGCCTGGTAAAGCAGGCAGTCTGGTCAAATACATCCCTAAAGAGGAGGGTGTTTACATGGTGGAGCTGCTCTATGATGGGCATCTGGTGCCCGGAAGCCCCTTTCCTGTGGAAGCCATGTTGCCTCCAGATCCCAGCAAGGTATAGTCAAAAGAAAGCATGATTCAGCTTTTATAAAAAAATGTATGGCTTTTTTTACATTCATATTTTTGGCTGTTTTTTTTTTTGCTCTTTTTCTTATTTTGTCTGTTGTTTTATTTTGACTGTCTTTTGATCTTTAATTTTGATATTGACTGTATTTTGATCTGCAAAATGTTTGTATAACAAAAATACAGTGTGTTTGCTACTCTGATTGAATTTAGACATAAATGTTGATTAAATTTAAAGTATTTGGGGCATGAATATTATAAGTAACTAATTAGGTTATCTTAAAATGAACAGTAACCCTTTTCAGTAAATAATTTAATTACAGTAACTAATTACTTTTAAAATTTCAAGTTACTATTTACTATGTAAACTAGTTACAAGTTACAACTAGTTACTTTCTCAATCATACAATTGATCACAGTAACTTAATTTAATTTGCAAACCATAAGCAATTTAATTACAGTAACTTTATACTTTGTAAGACGCAAGTAATTTACAGTAATTAGTTATTTATAAATCATTAGCAATATATTTACATTACTTTTGTAAGCCACAAGCATCTTGTTTACAGTAACTAGTTCTTTGTAAAACTTAAAGGTTCCATATACTGCATTGCTTTAATAAGTGAAATTGTTCTCTGGTATCTACATTATAGGTTTATGGCTATGGTAAGTAAAAAAATCTCTAGAAACAGTTTTATAAGCTCGTTTGTTACTCCATAAAATACCAATAGAATCAGAAGGTCTTGATTGACCATATATGGATCGTGTCATGAATATTAATGAGCTCCGCTCTGACGTGTTGCTCTCACACACACATACATACACTGTATGATGAACAAGGACAAATATAAGCCTAATCAGAGTGTAACGTTAACCTATTTTGCTCACGAGATGTGGTTAAAGGCAAAATTCTAATTAAACTTGACAAAAGAGAATGATAGAGATGGTATCGCATTGTATTTTTAAGCTATAATGTCAAAGAAAACCAGGATTTAATATAATCTGCTCGAACATATGAGCATGAGTGATTTGACATGATTCGGCATCACACGTTTGTTGAAACATACGCTTCAAATTTTGCAATAAACACAATTAATTAACAAAAGATGCAATTAAACATGCCTTATGCCTCTTATGAATAAATGTATAATCTGTAAATCTTGCATTTTGCTTCCTGAAGCACATGTCTTGTGCAGCCGTTGCCCGGTGATGCATAATAAGCAATCTGCGGTTGCGTTTTTAAAATAAAAGTCCCATATACTTAGTAAGTTAAATATAAGGTTTAAAATAACTAATGGAGGGAAACTATCATTGTTTTCTCACGAGAAAGTGTTGCTGCTTATCAAATACAGCCTGTGGTGTGCATATTAATGATCTCAAAGCTACACGAGTCTGGGTTCTCTTGATGACGTCATATCTGGATGAACAACCTAAAGTAATCACACATGCAAATGTGGAGTGCCTGGCCCATGATTCTTGTAACAGTTTGTCTTGTCTTCTGATTGGCCTGTTGTCCACTGGGGTTTTACACTCGTGGAATTTACATAACAAGTAAACAATTGTTTCTGAGGCTCATGGTATGCCCATTTGCATATACTGATCTCTTATTATTCTACTAGGCCTTGGTATACCCAGATTTTCATTATCGGCCACCTTTAAGTATTTTATTACAGTAACAAGTTTCTTTACGGTTACTAATACATTTTTTTATTTTTTTTTACTAATTATTAACTTTTTTTTACGTCTTTACACCTAGCACTGATTCTTTTTTGTTTATGTATGTAGATTACTCTTTGTGTTGGAGTATTTAACATGCTGTTATGCTAGAAACATTTCAAATGCAAGTCTGACAATTGTTACGAACCCCAGTTTTTTAAGGATCGTCTAGGGAAGGGGTTAGCAACATAAAAGGACACAGAAACCAGAAATACAATTCTCTATTTATTTATAGACCAGAATATAGGTGTCCTAATTAATTAAGGTGGCAACAGAAATATAAATCATTGGTTAAACAATATCCAAGTCAAAGCAATTACTTAAACAAACAAACAAAACATAAATCATAAAGAAAATATTGATAAAAAACATAGATCAAAGAAACGGCACAACACCAGCATGGCTCCTCAGCAGCGGCTGCACAAGACGCGCACAGAAGTTTCGGACCTTCATCAGGGCAAGATACGGAGAGATTCTCAGCAAGTACGGGTCATACTCTCTAAAGAGAGACAAGATCGCGAGGATCAGTCAGACGCGCTGGAAATCGAGAGCCACCCCGACACACACTCAGCTTCGGTTTATAAAGGCGACCAGCCGAATTAGCGGCAGGAGCAAGGCGGAGCCAGCCTCAAAGAAAAGAAAAAGCAATTAGTAAAACAATCTCCACCACGACACAAAATTACTTAGAGAATAATAATAATAATAATAATAATAAAGAAGGAAGGCTAAATAAAGAATAAACCGTGGCACAAGGAAGTATTGTATTTGTATTTAATAACATACATTTCTCTGCACAGGTCAAGGCGTTCGGTCCGGGACTGAAGGGTGGTCTTGTTTCAAGTCCTGCTGAGTTCACCATCGACACTAAAGGCGCAGGAACCGGTGGTCTCGGCCTCACCGTTGAGGGTCCGACCGAAGCCAAAATCGAGTGCTCTGATAACGGCGACGGCACTTGCTCCGTGTCGTACCTTCCCACAGAACCTGGAGAATATCTGGTCAATATCCTCTTCGAGAACGTCCACATTCCTGGATCACCTTTCCACGCCGACGTCCAGTACCCGTTTGATCCCACTAAAGTGTTAGCGTCAGGCTCAGGCCTAAAACGAGGAAAAGTTGGCGAAGTCAGTGTGTTAAATGTGGACTGCACCACAGCCGGACCGGGACTGCTGACGCTGGACGCCGAGTCTGATTCTGGAGTCAAGGCTAAGACGGAGGTTTTGGATAATAAAGACGGGACGTACACGGTCACTTATATCCCGCTGACTGCAGGCATGTACACATTACAGCTGAAATACGGAGGAAAGAGCGTTCCCAGCTTCCCTGCTAAAGTGAAAGTGGATCCGGCTGTGGATACTAGCAGAGTGAAGGTGTTCGGGCCAGGAGTCGCTGGAGAAGGTATTGATTAGGCCTGTCAGTAACCAATATATCCACTTATAGCATGACTGCAATACTTTTGAGTGTTATATAGATTCAGGCGTTAGACAATGAAACAGAAACTCCAGGTTTTAAAGCTCAATAATTCATTAGTATGGTGTAGATCCTCCTTTTTGCAGCCAATACAGCATGATTTCATCTTGGGGAATGGCAGATAATAGGCCTGCACAGCAGCCAGTGGGATTTTGAGCCATTCCTCTTGCAGAATAGTGGCCAAGTCACTACATACTCACTCCCTCCACTCAGTCCTCCAAAATACCTCAAAGTGCTCAATAATATTGAGCTCTGGTGACTGTGCAGGCCATGGGAGAAACGTGCTGTGTGTATTAATGCATTATCATCCTGATACACACCACCACCTTTAGTATACAAAGTTTGACCATTGGGTTCACATGGTCCTCTAGAATGGTTTGGTAGTCTTTGGCATTGACCCAGCGGCCATCTAGCACAAGTGCTGAGCCTGGGGAATGCCATGATATTGCAGCCCGAACCATCACTGATCCACCTAAATGCTTTATTCTGGGGATGCAAGAGTCTGGGTGGTACACTTCTTTGGGGCTAATCCACAGTGTAACTCACCTGTGATACCTGTGATGCAGGTGGAGGAAAACCTTTCCTGACTCGCTCATTTAAAACATCCCAAAGTGGCTCAATCATGTTTAAGTCTGGTGACTGTGCAGGCCATGGGAGATGTTCAACTTCACTTTCATGTTCATCAAACCACTCTGACACCAGTCTTACTGTGTGTATTAGTGCATTATCATCCTGATACATGACACCACATTCAGTATACAATGTTTGAAACATTGGGTGCACATGGTCCTCTAGAATGCTTTCTGTTGTCCTTGACAATGACCCAGCGGCCATCTAGCACAAGTATTGAGCCCAGGGAATGCCATGATATTGCAGCCCAAACCATCACTGATCCTTCACTCTGGGGATGCAACAGTCTGGGTGGTACGCTTCTTTGGGGCTTCTCCACACCGTAACTCACCTGTGATGCTGGTTAAAGAGAACGTTTTCTGACTCGCTCCTCTAAAACACCCCAAAGTGGCTCAATAATATTTTGATTTGGGTACTGTGCAGGCCACGGGAAATGTTCAACTTCACTTTCATGTTCATCAAACCTCTCTGTCACCAGTCTTGCTGTGTGTCTTAGCGCATTGTCATCCTGATACATGCCACCGCCTTTAGGATACAAAACTTATGCCCTAGTGCAGGGGTGGCCAATCCTGTTCCTGGAGAGCCACCTTCCTGCAGATTTCAGTTGCAACCCATAATCAACACACCTGCCTGTAATTATCACGTGGTGTTCAGGTCCTAATTAATTGGTTCAGGTGTGTTTGATGTGGGTAGCAACTGAAATCTGCAGAAAGGTAACTGTCCAGGAACAGGATTGGCCCCCCCTTCCCTATTGGGTGCACATGGTCGTCCAGAATGTTTTGGTAGTCCTTGGCAGTGACCCAGCGCCCATTTAGCACCAGTATTGAGTCCAGTGCAGCAACGTCCAGACTTGGCCCTGGAGGGCCGGTGTCCTGCAAAGTTTAGTTTCAACCCCAATCAGACACAGCTGGCCTAGCTAATCAAGCTCTTACTAGGCTTTCTAGAAACATTCTTGCAGGTGTGTTGAAGCAAGTTGGAACTAAAATGTGCAGGACACCGGCCCTCCAGGACCGAGTTTGGACACCCATGGCCTTGTAAATGCCATGATATTGCAACCCAAACCATCACTGATCCACCCCCATGCTTCACTGTGGGGATGCAACAGTTTGGGTGGTACGCTTCTTTGGTGCTTCTCCACACTGTAACTCACCTGTGATCCTGGTGGAGAAAAACATTTCCTGACTCGCTCCTTAAACACCCCAAAGTGCTCAATAATTTTTCGATCTTGGTACTGTGCAGGCTATGGGAGATCTTCAACTTCACTTTCATGTCCATCAAACCTCTGTCACCAGTCTTGTTGTGTGTCTTAGCGCATTATCATCCTGATACATGCCACCGCCTTTAGGATACAAAACTTATGCCCTAGTGCAGGGGTGGCCAATCCTGTTCCTGGAGAGCCACCTTCCTGCAGATTTCAGTTGCAACCCATAATCAACACACCTGCCTGTAATTATCACGTGGTGTTCAGGTCCTAATTAATTGGTTCAGGTGTGTTTGATGTGGGTAGCAACTGAAATCTGCAGAAAGGTAGCTCTCCAGGAACAGGATTGACCACACCTGCCCTAGTGGGTGCACATGGTCCTCCAGAATGTTTTGGTAGTCCTTGGCAGTGAGCCAGCGCCCATTTAGCACCAGTATTGAGTCCAGTGCAGCAACGTCCAGACTCGGCCCTGGAGGGCCGGTGTCCTGCAAAGTTTAGTTTCAACCCCAATCAGACACAGCTGGCCTAGCTAATCAAGCTCTTACTAGGCTATCTAGAAACATTCTTGCAGATGTGTTGAAGCAAGTTGGAGCTAAAATCTGCACGACACCGGCGCTCCAGGACCGAGATTGGACACCCCTTTCCTAGGGAATGCCATGAGATTGCAACCCGATCCATCACTGATCCACCTAAATGCTTCACTCTCGGGATGCAACAGTCTGGGTGGTACGCTTCTTTGGGGCTTCTCCACACTGTAACTCACCTGTGATGCAGGTGGAGGAAAACCTTTCCTGACTCACTCATCTAAAACACCCCACAGTGGCTCAATAATGTTTAAGTCTGGTGACTGTGCAGGCCATGGGAGATGTTCTACTTTCATGTCCATCAAACCTCTCTGTCTCCAGTCTTGCTGTGTGTATTGGGGCATCATCATCCTGATACACGCCACTGTGATGCACACCATAATGTTTGACCTATTGGGTGCACATGGTTCTCTAGAATGCTTCAGTTGTCCTGGGAAGTGACCCATATAGCACGAGCATTGAGCCTCGGGAATGCCAATTGAGCCTAATGGTATGCCTCTTTGGGGCTTCTCCACACTGTAACTCTTTCCGGATGTGGGAAAGACAGTGAAGGTGGACTCATCGGAGAACAATACATGTTTCACATTGTCCACAGCCAAAGATTTTCGCTGCTGTCAGTTTCTTCCTTAAATATCAAGACAAAATTGGGTTACAAATATGGAATTTTAATTGTTCCGATTAACATTTAACATCAAAAATAAAAATATCACCAACACACCATTATAAAAGATGAAAAATGCTCTGAAAATGAACCACAAGTCAACTCTTTCACAAATATGTAACATGGTCTCCGAATATGGCTAATAGTTTAGCATTTGTGGATGTGATTTCACCAGTTTTACTGACGTATTTTGGCACAGATGTTTTTAGGGAACTGTTATCAGTGGTCGACTCTGATTGGCTAGTGAGAATGTGATTGACAGTTCTCCTGCATGTACAGTGTTGTGCATAATTCTGTATACAGTACAATAATTCAATGTAGAATGGCACAAATATAATTCAATATAAAAGCACTAGGTCATGCTAGCTTCTGAAAACATGTTTGTCTTTGGATTGGCTTCATGGCTCACTGAACTTTCCTCCCATTCCTTTTGATTTCATAACCAAATCTGTTTAAAGAGATGTTTATATGGAGGCATTCATGTGTAGTCGTGCTCTAAATGACGTAATTAAGCCAAGCCACTCTTTCTTTCTTTTCAGTTAGGTTATAAAGAGTGGCGTCTCTCAGACTAGTAAGAAAAAAGCATCTAAATTAAACGTTTCATTTTATCACACTTTAACTGTTTGCTTGCGTTTACTCTTGCAAGATTTTATTTTGTAGAAATATGCTAATTATCCCCTTTATTTAAAGGGACAGTTCACCCACAAATGAAAACTCAGTCATCATTTACTCGTCCTCTACTTTTTTCAAACCTGTTTGAGTTTCTTTTTTGTGTTGAAAAGCAAGGAAGATATTCTGAGGAATGTAAGGGGAATATAGACTTCATAGACTGCAAGTGTTTGTTTTTTTTATTCCTCATTGATTTTAATGGCTGCTTTTCCTCTAACATTGTTCAAAGTATCTTCTTTTGTGTTTAACAGGAAAAAAACTAATCAGAAAAGTTTTGAACCACTTGAGTGTGAGTAAATGATGAAAATGATTAAATTATTGGGTGAACTGTCCCTTTAAGTGTTGTACCATTTTCACAGGTAAAATGCAATTTTGAACCATATTAGTATGCTTTTTCATATTTATTAGCTATGACTATCTTCACTGTGGATGCCCCAGCTTTGTCTAAAGTTCCCGTTAACTTAAATGTATTGAAATAACAACATGACATTTTAAAAACATGTCAAATAACACTAAAAATATAGAAATATGACATTTATAAATAATTTCAATGTTATTGTGTGTGCATTTTACTACTAATAACACTGAATTCTGGTCCAAACTCAATAGATAAGTGTAAACTAGTGCTTTGCTTCTTTTTTTCACTTTCCAAACTCCACACGAAAGGAAAAAAAAAACTAGCAAGAATTAATGAACGTATGTACTATTTTAGTGGCTGCGATGACCCTGTATTATAGTACACATCTTTTCAGAACAAGATTGTCGACTTGACACTGGAAAATGCTGCATTAATTGTCCCTTTAAAAAGTTGAAGTCAAAATTATTCGCCCTCATGTGAATTTTTTCCCCGAATATTTCCCAAATGATGTTTAACAGATTCAGGAATTATTTTTTACTGTATTTCCTATTATATTACTTATTTGTTTAATTTCGACTTGAATAAAAGCAGTTTTAATTTTTTTTTTAAACACGTTTTGAGGTCAATATTATTAGCCACAGGGCTTTGTTCTTGGGCCACTTCTCTTCTCCATCTACACAACATCTCTAGGACCAGTCATCCAGAAACATGGATTCTCCTACCACTGCTGTGCTGATGATACCCAGCTATACCTCTCTTTTCACCCTGATGATCTCTCGGTTCCAGCTCGCATCTCAGCCTGCCTGTCAGACATTTCACACTGGATGAGAGATCATCATCTTCAGTTTAACCTCGTGAAAATAGAAATGCTTGAAGTTTCTGCCAACCCGACTCTACATCACAACTTTTCAATCCAGATGGATGGGGCAACCATTACTGCATCCAAAATGGTGAAAAGCCTTGGAGTAACGATTGATGACCAACTAAACTTCTCTGACCACATTTCTAGAACTGCTCGATCTTGCAGATTCGCACTCTATAACATCAGAAAGGTCCGACCCTTCTTATCTGAACATGCAGCTCAACTCCTTGTTCAAGCTCTTGTTCTCTCCAGACTGGACTATTGCAACTCTCTACTAGCGGGGCTTCCAGCTGACTCTATCAAACCTCTTCAGCTGCTTCAGAACGCAGCAGCACGAGTTGTCTTCAATGAACCTAAACGAGCACATGTCACTAGGCTACTCATCCGTTTGCACTGGCTGCCAGTTGCTGCTCGCATCAAATTCACAGCTCTGATGTTTGCTTACTAAGCGACTTCTGGCTTTGCTCCTACTTATCTGCTCTCACTTCTGCAGATGTATGTGCCCTCCAGAAACTTGCGTTCTGTTAATGAACGTCGCCTCGCGGTTCCATCCCAAAGAGGGAAGAAATCACTTTCCCCAACTCTCGCATTCAATCTGCCCAGTTGGTGGAATGAACTCCCTAAATGCATCAGAACAGCAGAGTCACTCACTGTCTTTCAAGAAACGACTA